CCCAATAGACAAGCCCTCAATCCTGGCAGTTCCCGTACCACTGCCGGGATAGAGGGATGCCGCAAGGGCTTTACCTCAAAAAAAAAAAAAAAAAAGGACAAACAAAGAAAAAGCAGAAGACGATAAGGTCGGGCCCTGGCAGCAGGATGCACAAATTGAGAGATGGACGGAAATGGTTTTGAAAACAGAACATGCCAAAATTGCAAGGAAAATGAGCAGCAGCGAAATGACAGATTCCAGATTGCACAATCACATTGAAAACCAGAAAGTCCCACAGTGTTCAGAAAGCAGAATTGGACCAATAATACACCAATGGAAAACCAAAGCACTGAATCAAGTGTCAATGAGAGCACTCTCTCGCCATCACCAACACAAGTATTCAAGCCCCTTCCCTTACTTGGCGCTCAGCACCCAGACTACTAACACACAGTTACTCCCAGCCTATGAATTGACAATGCAACTGTTGACGTCAGCAGCATCGAAGTACATGAAGATGTCGCCTCTTGTGCCCTCACGTCATCATCTCTCTCTCTCTCTCTCTCTCTCTCTCTCTCTCTCTCTCTCTCTCTCTCTCTCTCGTTCACATACATCTTCTACCTCATGCACGAAGATCACCACTACTCCTTGCTGTATAACCAAGCACCGGCCAGCTATGGAAGCTGGGCTATGGCGCCGCCATCAGCAGCGCCCTTCCTCTACACGACCTCATAGTATGTGCGTGGCACCTTGCTCTGCGCTAGCAGCAGCCCGTGAGCGCTCGCTCCAGCAGCGCTGCCGCAAACTAGCAAGTGGCTGAATGAATGGCCAGGCAGCAAGCTCTTTCCTATATTGATGCGCTGCCTGCCTGGGCTGGGCCTGTGCCCAGAAGCTTCCGGTATTCTGCTGCTACTGCCCTGGGCCCCATCCGGTTACGCCTCCCAACTGCTTGTCGTGTATACTGCTGCAGATGCGGCCCAGGGCCTGCTTGGAAGAAAGGCCTAGAAGGCCGAAACAAAGTGTGGCTGGCTGTGGCCGGGGTTCCTTCAACCAACTGACGTGACACATCTGCCTGAACCCCAAATGCGAAATTGACAACAACGGGCATCTCGATTTTATCAGGCCCGCCTTCACTTAGGGCGGGCACACTTTTACAATTGGGGCCCCTAAGGCCTCCCGAGGAGCCTGATCCTCGCAAAATGATTGTGTAAAAAAAAAAAAAAAAAAAAACAAGGCTCCATGAGTGTTTTCTTTCGGTGCCACCTCTCCTTACCAAGACTGATTAGTTTTTTAACTTTTTTTTTCATTTATTAAATTATTAGTAATTACATTGCCCAGTGTCCCGAGACTAATTACATCATCAGAAATTAGTAGTTACATTGCCGAGAATAATTACATCATCAGAAATTTGAAGTGTTAGAAATTTGAATCAGTTAAGAATTAAATTCAATTAATTGAGGCTCTTGATTACTCATGGCATTTTTCTGCAGGCTCCTTTCCTTCCCTTGCCCTTTTTTTCCCCCCAAAGGTTCCCTGTCTTTCGAAATGGACTTGAAGCACATGCGTAAGCGATAATAAAATAAAATTATTATTAACTTAGGTCTGTAAGGATTAATAAAACTAAATTATTAACTGAGGTGTGCATATCACTGTGTAAGGATTAAAAAGATAAAATTATGAACTTAGGTTCGAAAGGATTAAGAAAAAGAAAATAAAACTATTAACATAGGTTACTTAGGAATATGGCAATTTCCTACTAAAAGACGAACTTAAGATTGGGTTTTCAAATTTTCAGCTCTTTTTCCTTTGCCTTTGTTTCCAGGAATATTTTGTGTCTCTCTCATGCAGAGCCTGCGAATGCATTGCATGTGGACACCTGACACGACAGACAGTCAATGTACAGCTGGCCAGCAGCCCACTCTCCCAGGAAGTAAGAATGCAAATAGGGTATGACGGTAGCTGTGGTTGGAGTATGGGAGAGAGAGCCAACGTCAGCAGAAGCTGAGATCAGCAATACGCAGAAAACACAGACACGCTACGAGTAGAGCAGCACACCAAGATGTGTATCTTCAGAATAGAAAACTCTTTGAAAAATCAACAAAAAAATCAACAAAAAAATCAACAAGGTGAACCAAGAGTATAGCACCATAGCCTAGGTTCTCTTCAGAAAATGGGAGATAAGAGCCAAGAGAGCTAGCTATGGCTTTCACCACCGTCCGCTGCGGACGGTAGTAGTCTGGCTTCCCTCTACCGGTTCGGTTCGCCTGGAGCCAGATTCCAGCCTCGTCAGAAGGGTAAACAATTAAAAAAAATACTAAAGATCAACTCCGATGTGAAGGTAAATGCTAAACCTACGTAATAAATAGTAAATACTAGATTTAACCTCAGTTACTCGTAGACGTCTTGGTAATTCCCTATCTCCGTAGTTGCTGCAAGGAAAATGAGCGATAGCGAACTTCAGAAATCAAACCAGAAATCGAACAGCATCATACACATGAGACCAGATAGTCGTGACCTCGAACCAACAGCAGAATTGCATCACGAGTTCCACCAAATAAGAGCACAGCAAAAGCTCATAATTGACAATGCTGGAATAGTCTCATCATCATCATCAATGAAGAACCAATGTCGATACATCATATCTGGCGCTCGGCGCCCAGACTACAGATGGCAGATCCTATCTAGCCTATCTACAATGCCGCTGATGACGTCAACAGCTCCCCGAAGTACGAGCAGATCTCGGCCAATGCCGTTCGCCTCAAACACCACGTATGTCTCTCGTATCACTCACAACCTCGATCCCCAACTCACAGATGCCACATGCACCCAAGAACCACCATGCGCCCCATCCAGCATCCAGCATACAGCAGCTCAGCTCGGCGATGGCTGCCTGCTCCTTCCCAGCTCGCCCGTGAGCGCGTGAGCGCTGGCCAGCGTTAGCGCAACAGCGCTTGCGCACGCATACAGCCAGTGCCCGAATGCCGAATGCATGGGCAGGCACTTTCCTAAATGGAAGTGGCCTCCCTGCTTGCATGCAGCCTGGCTGCGCTGGGCCCCTGCCCAGAAGCTTCCGGTAGGCCCAGAGAGGCTGAGCCCCAGTCCAAACGAAACAGGCCCTGGGCCTGTGGTGGTTGCCCATGTCCAACTGCCCGCGGCCTGTGTTCGCTCCATGTTCCGATTCTGGCCCACGGCCTGCCTCAGGTACATTCAAAAAGGCAGCCTGGGCCTGGGCGCTATCAACCAACTGGCGCTGCACAACTATTAAAAAATCCTGAAAGATTTTGAAGTCCGAGGGCGTATCAAACAACCGAGTATGCCATGCAGGTTTCCCAGGCCCTTTTTGTCTTGTCTTTATAGAAAGATCTGTTTTAGAAATCCGTCAAAAATCTGCTCAGACTTTACTACGTCCAAAACAAATCTGAAACCGGGTACGCACATTTGATTGCAACAAAAAAGTGGGAAAAAAAAAAAAAAAAAAAAAAAACTTGAAAAAAAAAAAAACAATTGAAATACATACAAGCTGGTTGAAGTGTTCAACATCCCATTTTTTTAAATATATTTTTCCGAAATAATTTCTGACACAAATGACAGGCAGGAGAGGGGTTGTTGATTGATCAGTCCTGAAATATTAGGTTTGTGTCTGAGCTCTATGAGCTTCTGGAGAATCACCCCACCAAGGAGCGACGACCCCACACACAGCTACAGACAAACTACTTGAATACTTTTCTACGGTCAGTTTTTTCTGCATTGCGACGATAGAGACCTGAAATGAGAAATCACACACAGCCTCACCTCCTAACCACCGACGCTCGTAAGGAAGCCAACCTACCTTCAGCAGTGTCCTCCTCTAAGCCTTAAAACTTAAAAGTCAAAACTTAAAACTGACATTCACAATCAGATACCCCCTCCACAACTGAAGCAGAAGCAGGTACACTGTGCCTGGTCCCCACCATCACAACTACCATCACCATCACCACAATTGCAAGGAATATGAGTGGGAACGATATATAAAAAGCCAAGTCGCGAAATCACACAGATGTCCAAGTAGTCGTGTACAAGCAGAGAGCACAAATGCGCCAAGAATCCATCATCCAAATAAGAGCAATACAATGAAGTAATGAGCCGATGTTCAAGCCCTCAGGCCACACCAACACAGTATCCGAAGTCGCTCCTCTCGTCTGGCCCAGCGCCCAGCGCCCAGCCTACACTGCTTGACTATCCTACCTACATCAGCATTCTCGCAACAGGCTCACTTCGACTTCGACTCTTGAAGACCAATGTACATGATGTCAACACCATAGCCGACCTCTCTCATGCACCAGGTACGTATCTCGTCTCCCCTCATCAGACCCTGTCCACCCACACTCGCCTCCTTCCTGAAGACCACCGATCGCCCTCTTACGAGAGATCGTTAATGGAAGGCCAAAAATTCGGGGGGGTTCAACTTTTTTGCCGCACCAGCACAAGCAATGTTGGCAAAAATTTCGCGAACAAACAATGCAGACTCATAATACAAACATAAAAATAAAATTAAAAAACAGGCAAAGAAAAAAGAAAAAAAAAAACTAATAAGCACTATAAAACCCTATTCGGAGGGGCTTTCGGAGATCGCCAATTTTTTTTCCGAATTCGGTGTTTGTGCCAACTTTTTCGTTAGCAGTCCAAATGCATTGAAAGTTGAAACTGAATACAAATATACCCTAAGGCACAGACATGTCACACAAGAAAACAAACAACAACAAAAAACACCAATTCGAGGAAATCTGGCAGTTTCCGTGAAAATTCCGCCGAAAATGACACCACCTATTAACCATTACTCATATTCGTTGAATTCTATTCCTACTATTCTTATTTCATTATTCTTTTATATATAATGTAATAAATAAAATCTATAGATGATATTAGGAATCATATGTACATTAATTACTTTATATTACATATTTGACTTTAGATATTTAACTTTATTGATATGAGATAAAATCGATTTATAATATATCATCTATAGATAAGAATATATCATCATGGAAGGCCAAAAATTCGGGTTTTTTTGCCGCACCACCACAAGCAATGCTGGCAAAAATTTCGCGAACAAACAATGCAGGCTCATAATACAAACATTAAAAAAAAAAAAAAAAAAAGGCAAAAAAAAACGAAAAAAAAAAAACTAATGAGCACTATAAAACCCTATTCGGAAACTGAATACAAATATACCCTAAAGCACATACATGTCACACAAGAAAACAAACAACAAAAAAGCCACCAATTTGGGGAAATATGGCAGTTTCAGTGAAAAATCCGCCGAAAATGACACCACCTATTAACCATATGTGTCTCTTACCCCTAGCGCCCTGCAGCCTGGCTATGGCTGCTAGCGCTCCGCTGCCCAGCAGCGCCCCTCTCACCTCTCGTGCGCCCCGCAAGCGCCCTGGCCACAACGCAGCACGCACCCTCTAACGCAGCAGCGCAGCAGCGTGACCGCATTGCCTGCGTGGGCCAGAATGCCAGACCCTGGCTGCCTTCCTTCCTATATGGAAGTGGCCGCCTCTGCTTGGCTGCGTATGGGCTGGCTGGAAGCTTCCAGTAGCTTCCGATTGCGTCCCACTGCCTGCGCCCAGGCCCAGTGCTACAGTTGAGGGCCTGGGACCTTTACAGTTGGGCACGGCCTGAGTCTCCAGCCTTGGGCTGTTTGCTGCATTTGCACAGGACCCGGGGTATGTACGTCGACAGTGCTGCTTTTGTGTAGGCCTGTGGCCACTCCGTGATGTATCGGCCCTGCATTATGTGTATGTGCCCAGGCGCAACTGCCAAGGCCTGGGCCAAACTGTACGATGCAGCTTAGGGAGGTTCACGCGTTCACTCAACCAACTGGCGGGCTGCAACAGACAGAGTACCCACATATGCAAAAATGTCAAATTTTGGCCTTCAGTGAATATTCAGGCCCTCCTTCACTTAAGGCGGGCACTTGGCTTGCTGGGGGGCCTCTGCCCAGAACATGTGCATGCTTGACAAGGGCCCCGCGAGGGCTCATTCCTCGCACAATCACGATCACGACCATCACCATCACCATCACCATCATCATCATTATCACCATCACCACAATCACCATCATGACCACAACAATCACCATCACCACAATTACAGTTGACCATCAACACGACATCAACGCCATCATCATCATCGTCATGCACCACGACCATCGACGGCCATCACCACCAGCATCACCACCTCCTCTACAGATCACACACTCTTGTATCGCAAGAGGGTATAAGAAAAAGCTCAATAACGAAAAGTCTGAAGGCGGCATGACTGCACACGCATAACGAACATATAATCATCATTCTACAATGTGAGAGACCACCTCCTTTGCTATAGAGTCTCACATCATAACCGACTTCTACGATAGCATTCATATCATCGCCCAATTTGCAACTTCGCCGCAATTTTACGACACTTCTCCTTCCTTCACCCCCCCCCCCCTCCTGTCTCTTATACACATCTAGATGTGTATAAGAGACAGGGTGAAAGAAGCAGCGTGGAAGGATGGAAAGCTGGTCCTTCACAATATCACAGCCATTAAAATTGGAACGATAAACAAAAAAGATTGATAAACCCTGGGAAAGCATAAGAGACAAAAAAAAAAAAAAAAAAAAAAAAAAAAAAAGGGCAGATCGAAGAATGATCCAAAAATTTTAACTTCGATAAAATTTTAATTCAGATTCTAGATAGAATACCTTTCTCGGCCTTTTGGATAAGA